GTCTGCAAATGAAAAAGATTGAAAACCACTGATTGAAAACCACTACTTATTCTGACTGCATATTTTTAAGGAAGACTAGAGTTAGGATGTAAAAAAAATGCTTCTTGCTGGTACTGAAGACCTGCTTGAATACAATTAGTAAAGAAATTAAGGTCTTCTGGATTTAAAGGTGCATGGATGCATAGATTTGACAGTGGCATTGCATGAAGTGGAGGATGCAGAAGTGATCGCCGATGAAGCAGCAGTTTGGAGAAAAGGAGCCTTTAGCAAAGAGTGCTCAGGCTCAGAAGGAGCAAAGCCAAAACTGCTTGCTGACATTCCTGGCTCTTCCCCTTCCTTGAGGCCAGATTTTGCAGGGCTCAGGTTAGCCACGGCATGCACAGCTCCTCCTCACCTCTCCTACCTTGCTTGGACCTCCTCAGCTGCTTCCAACCACGCTTGCCAGCTCAGTGGGATCCTATTCCTCTTTCCAGACCTTTAGCAGCAGTGCCACATTTCAGGTTCTGGTATCCCTCCATAATCAACATAGAGAGACTGGCACGACCAGAATCAAGTTAAGTTCAAAATCTGAATCATGCTTTGGAGATACCTATTTTTCTCCATTGACCATATAGGTCAATTAGGTTCCTAACTCAAGTGCTTTGCTAACTTCACTTTAAGTTATATGGGTTTTCAGCCTAAAATGCCAAGACTGACAAAGTATTGCAAAGGAAGGAGATGCCCAAAGAGGGGATGGGAGTTTCCAGCTTCACACAGTTAATAGCAAATCTGGGAGTAAACCTTAGGTCTTCTTCATAATAAAAAACCTTTGACCAGTCTGTGAATCTTTTACAAGGTTCTTGAGATTAGCGGTACCTGCCATACAAGGTTTTCAAATGCTCTTAAATGATTCATCTGATCTATTGACCTAAAGCAAAATTAGCTGTGAAAAGCATGGCAAAGTCATGAAGACCTTGTAGAGCTGATTCTCAGCAACACAGCCATCTCCTCAGTGCTTTTCCCATCACTCTTTAAACGATTCTGGGTTTCCTCTCAGAAAAGACAGAGATGAACTACGCCAGCAATTTATGCAAAATATTGAGGCAGAGTCCAGCAAATGAGGGAGATCAGCCACCAGGGCTTTCAGTTCTGGAAACGAACATCATGCCCATTTCTTGCTGTAAAAGGATCATCATCAAGAAGTGACCATTTATTTCCCTGAAGTTCCTTCCAGCATTGAATTCACCTCCCTTCTAAGAAGTCTGCAGGATGTTTGTCTGCTTTAGGAAGAAAGCACTCCCTCCTCCCCTTTTTTTTTTCCCTCAAAACCATGACGTGTCCCTATCCATCGGGGCTGTGAGGACGTCTGTCCTTCCTCAACGCAGCCTCTCACGCTGGCACACGCGCTCGCAAGGCTGTTTACGCGTTGCAAACTGTGCTACAACTTGAGCAATCAATTACCTCCCTAGGAAACATGTTGTTAGAGCATCTCAGTGTTCCTGGAATGTTTGGAAATACTTGTCAAAACACGACTCTGGTTTCATTGTTAGTTCTATTAACATTCAAACATTTCCCTTGTTGATTAAAGGCACTGGCTCCACACAACGTTTTAAAGTCAATACCTACCTGCCTCCTATCCAATTTCTTATGTAACTACTGCTTTCCCCACCACAAATGTTTTCCCCTTAATGATGAATGAAATGATTTATGCCACAATTACCATGCAGAGGCCTTGCAGCGCTGGCAGAGGCCAAACCTCCCCGACCACAGATTGCATTCTTCATTATGTTTGATCTGGACACGCAGCGCGCTGCGTGAGGGGAATCACATTTCTGCAAAAGCACGAGCGCCCCGAGGTAGTTATCACTTTATTAGGACAGTGCTGGATTGGGTCCCGCTGTCAAAGCTGCAGACAGGCGCTTGGCACGTGGTGAGTGAGCTCACCTTCCTGGGCTCTGGAGTGACCGCGTGTAACGGGGATAATAACGTGCAACTATCTCGGAGAGCAGCTGCAAGGTAACCGGCTGCAAGAGTTATCGCTGTTTATAAAGTATTCTGAGACCCTCCAATTGCTTTTCCACTGCAAAGCTGCTGGATGTGAACGGAGGATTTGGGAAGTGCTTGCATACTGCTTTTTATGTCAAATGCCAGGAAATAAAGCAAAAAGGAAAAGCTATAGAGCCCCTGCGTTCTGCAACGCATCCTGTATGTCTAATACACCAGTCTGTGTCTGATCCAGCCACTCTATCTCTGTAGCAGAGCAGAGCTTGTGCTGTGCTTTTTGGAAACGTAAAACTACCACAGGAATTGCAAGGAGATAGACATACAACTCAGCCTCTAGATGTGGCTGGGCTGGAGTCAGATGTGGGACTGTGTCAGCTCTGTCTTGTCGGAGCACGCAGTCCGTACTAAAGCAGCATTAAGAAAGACTGATTTGTCCCTGTATTCAAGTCTCCCCCTAAAGCAAGACCACTGTGCCACTGAGAAATAGCTCGACTAAAAAGTGCTTTAATAATGCCTTAATATTGACTAAAATTCTGCAGTCCTCAACAGATGAAAGACTTCAGCTGCAATATCCTTAGCTCGCATTTATTTCAGTGGGTGGCTCTTTATTCAGAGAGATCTGCTGCTCACCACGCATCCCCTCTTCAGGCACTGCAGAGTGGGGCAGATGCCCCAAAAAGCCCCTGGGGAAAGGGAAATGGATATGAAAGCCAGGCCATACAGCTGGGTTGGGCCTCGCGAGCTGCACTGGGCCTTTCCTAAGGACTGGAGACCAGAGAGGATTTCATGCTGCCAGCAGCAGACATTAGTGAGGCCAGGGGCTGGAGCTCAGCCTGCACCACGGTCGTGCACCGTGGATGCTGCACGGTGCAGCGAGGTCCCCAGCTCATGGCGTGTGTACCTGGACGGGGCTGGCAGGTAGAAGTGACGTCTCCAACCTCCCCCCTGCAGGTCTCTGCTGGCTCTGAGCACGAGGATGACCAGAGCTGCAGGACTGGTGAAGGGCTCCTCCAAGAGCGGCCAGCAGCAGGGCACAGAGCCAGCCCGCAGCCCTGGGAGAGCTCTGTGCTAGCCCTGCTCAATCCAGATTATTCCAAGATCTGATTTTAAATCTTCGCTTCTCACACCCTCCACAGGCTCTATTCATTTTTTTTTTTTCCTACCTGCTTCCTCAAAACATCTAGTTTTCTCTCTGGGCTGCCAAATCATTTCCTCTCTTCCAGAAGCTCCTCATACAAAGCTCTTGCAGAAGAGACTTTGTGCATTCCTCTCTACCTCGCTTATTCCTTCTTATTCCTCTTCAGATCAAATTACTCCTCCCTTCATTTCTCACATCCACGCTGTTCTGTGGGAAATCCAGCCTCTGGGATGAAGCTGTGCTGCAACCACCCTTCAAAGCCCTGTGCTTCCCATTTGCAAGCGCAGAGAAAGCCTTCACAGGGTGGCTTAACCTTTTGCAGTGTTTACCCTGACAGTCATTTGGGTCCTTAATCTTAGCAACAATGGCTATCAGCTTGAGATTCAATAAACCTGCTTGGATTCGTGGCCCTTTGGACTGGCTAGCTAATAAAAACTGGTTTAGCCATTCCAGTGCACCTTATTGATACAAATGGATAGTGACATGAGCCCAGGAAAATTCACTCCCATGTGCGCATCCACGGATATTATTTAACCTTTTGATTTGAAGGGGTGGACAGCCGGGATTTCTCTGCATGCAGATGGACGATGATGTTGGGAGCGATAATTCAGGCCAGTCTCACATGCACTTCTAGCAGCCGGTGAGGCTGAAGGAACAGCCTGGCAGAGCACTGCCCAGTGCTCACTCCGGCTCACGCATCCTCGTCCTAGTAAGAAATATGTGGTGATGTTTATTCTGTGTACCTAACCAGTATGATTTAGAGCCTCACGTGACCCCGTCCCCATGCAGCTCTGCTGCTCCAGCCTGGCACATTCACACGTGCACTGAGCTCCCACTTGCCTCACTGCTCCGTGCCGCCAATGAGCAAAGACACTATTTTGCCTCATTCCTTCCTGTGGCCAGATTTATGCTTAAATATATATCTTCATGGAACAGTGGCCTGCCACTAAAAATGCTGGGTTTAGTTTTCCTGCTGAAGTATCCCGATGGCATCAGCGCTAGGACCATAGCAGCAGCAACCAGCTCAGACGCAGCGGGCGCTGCCACTGCATTGCACTTTGGCTACTCGCTCAGAAAAATACACTGAAAGGAGGTGATTTTCATTCCTGGCAGATCTGTCTCTTAAGGGGCTAAACAAATATAAAGCCCTGGGAAGGGAGAGTGGATAAAGGTGAACAAACATTTGGGCGGTGAGCATACGTCGTTGGAAGGGATACTCTGGGGGCAGTATATGTCTCACAGCATATAGTAGTCCGAAAATAAATGCAATTGTGTTGAGCAGGGTTTACTAGACTACATACCTTGGGTTTTTTGTTTTTTTTTTTTTTTTTTTTTTTTTAAATAGTAAGAACGTGGCTGAGACACAGTCCAGAAATACGGATTTCATTGCATCTCCAGCTCTGTTACAGTGGCAAAGAACCGGTATCCAAAAACCTGCATTTCGTCGGGCTGATGCTCTGCAGCCTCACGTGAAAGGGCTGCACGAGAGGTTAATAAAGGGGAAACCTAAAAATATCCTCCCCGGGGAAAGCCGCCAACCTCGAAGCCCTTCACGCAGGGCTATCTCAATGCCGCTTTGATTTCCTGTTGCAAAGGGCTTCCAAATGTTATAAGCTCTTAGCGCTAAATGAAAAACAGTTCAAAACCATTAAAGAGCTGGTTTATCCAGGGTAAGACAGGAGTCTCATCTCATCTTTCCGTTTGACACACTGCTTGGGCACCTCTGTGGCAGTGAAATAACCCCGCTCAGTTCCTATGCCCACGTTTTCCCCCCATAGTTTCTGTCTAACTCTTTGCTGCCATGCGGAGCTCCCAGTGGCCACCCCGCTCAGCGCTGGCCCATACAAATCCTGGCGGATATTGAGATGTCAGACGCCCCATGCCGGATGAAGGTGTCAAGGGGGAGACGGGGCTCGGCGACAGCAGCACCAGTGTGGAGCCCAAAGCCCAACCTTCCTTTAGCAAGTTTCGCCTGGAGTTCCCCCCATACAGAGCATCTTTGGCTCTGAAAACTTCTTCATCTCCCTGACTTCAGTGAGTGATTTCTTGTGTCCTGCGGGTTAAACAGAGCTGTGAGCTCTCTGTAGGAAGCAGCTGCTCTGCAAAGATGTCTCTGACTTGGACCAGTCACCTCTGGGGCTGACAGGGATGACCGCACTACCCAAAACCTAGTAAGTAACAATCAGATTTCACTGGAAGCAGCCAATGGAGCTAGCAGCTGAACCCCAGGGGGATGCAATCTCTCCTGCGCACACACTAGCACTGGTTGCTCAGCGGTCCAGGGAACAATCCCTGGCAATCCCACCGGGAAAGCAGGCAAGCGGGCAAGTTGTCCGGTGGCCACAGCCACGAGCCCTTCATCCAAGTCCTGGCACAGTTTACATGTGGTTTTGCTCCCATGTCTTGCCTAGCTTTCCCACAGACTCCATGGGAGGTGGCTGGAACCCATTTGGAAAAGCTGTAGGGTCGGCAAGGAAAATCAAATAATAAATAAATAAATAAATAAATAAATAAATAAATAAATAAATAAATCTGCATGTGTTTCACGGCACGCTACATCAGGACACTTTGCACAGCCACGGTGTCTTAGAGTGGGTTCTTAGCATTGTTGGATTTTGGACCGATTTTAACCTCGGGGGTGCAGGGAA